CGCCCGAGCCAGCCAGTCCGAAGGCTGGTGGGCGGGGCGTCGTGTGAGCGCTCGGTACTGCGTTCCGCAGGTGCACCAGGAGGCCCTGAAGATGGAGTGGCAGAACTTCCTGAACCTGTGCATCTGCCAGGAGAGCCAGCTGCAGCGCGTGGAAGACTACCGCCGGGTGAGCCTGCGGCCAGGGCGCCAAGGGCTGGTGGGGTGGGGCCCCCAGGTGCCTGGAGGGTGCACAGGACACCTACCTTCTTAGGCCTCTAAAAAGAGCTGAGCTGGCCATGGAGGTGCACACCGGTAATCCCAATCCTCTGGGAGGCTGAGGCAGGAGGATGGCAAATTCAAGCCCAGGCTGGTTGATTTATGCTACAACATGGATCAAACTTGACAACATTATGCCAAAGGGAAAGAGGCTAATCCAGAAAGTCACATATTGCGTAAGTCCATTTATATGAAGTGCCCCCAGAATAAGCAAATCCAGAGACAAAAAAAAAAAAAAAAAAAAAAAAAAAAAAAAAAGATTGGGGATGCAGCTCAGGGTGAAAGTCCTGAATTCAGGCTGGGCATAGTGGCACACACCTGTAATCCCAGTCCTAGGAGGCCGAGGCAAGAGGACTGCCTTGAGTTCAAGGCTAACCTGGGCTGCATAGTGAGACCTGTTTCAAAACAAAAAAACAAAAGCAAAAGTCCTTGGTTCAATCCCCAGTACCTGGAGAAGAAAAAAATTCTTGGGAATGGTGGGAGAATTAAGGGGGGAAAATAGCAAAAATGTCTGTTTAAAGGGACACTAATGAAAGAGGGCTGAGAAATATTGATACAATAAACAACTTGGATTCCTTTTATAATTGTAATTTCCACCAAGGGTTTCATACACTTTTGACAAACACCAAGTTTTATTTTGGTTGGACAGCACTGTCCTATGTAAACACAATACCATCATCACACACTGGGAGTAATTACAGGGCATTATTACCCGACCACACATTTCCTTCCTTGCTTGCTTCTGTACTGGGATTGAACCCAGGGCCTTGCATATGCTAAGCAAGTGCTCTACCACTGAGCTACGTCTCATCCCTGTTTATATTTTGAGACAATGTCTCACTAAGTTACCCAAGCTGGCCTTGAACTTGCCAGCTTCCTGCCTCAGCCTCCAGAAGAGCTGGGATTACAGCTGTGCAACTATCTGGCCCATATCTGCTTCTTCAAGCACACTGCCCCAGGCTTCTTCTCTGAGGCTGGGACAAGTACAGCACTGTCTCACCTCCCCCTGTCTCAGAGGCCGGAGGGAGGCAGGCAGAGGGGCCCTCGCTGTGCAGGACAGATAGATCCAAGCGTTGTGTGACACTTAAAAATCAAGTGCAGTGAACCAAAAATATGCGTTTACAGACTGTGCCATTTCAAAAGGTCCCACTGCCCAGGCAGATGAGCTGAATTTTGTTTAGCTGGCTGAGGTTTAGCCTGGTTTGGACTTAGCTCAGTTTGCATTTAAGCTCTTGGCTGTGTCGAGCTGGTCTGCAGGCTCAGTGGGCAGCGAGATGCCCCTGGCCCTGCCTTTGACCACAAATGACCTCAGTTCCAGGAAGAGGCCGACACAGTCAGCCAGACTCTGGCGAAGCTCAGTTCCAACTTGGACACCAAGTACAGCCCTGTTTGTGGGGGCCCTGTCTTCCCTGCCACAGAGCTGCTGCGACAGCTAGAGGTGAGATAGCCCCAGCAGGCCATCTGCAACCCTGCTTCTGGGAATTAGGTCCCTAGTCCGGCCCCAAACCCTGGCATGGGAGAAAGAAGTCTTCCCAGTTCCCGGCCAGCTATTCTCTGTGGACCCGTCTCCTCCTGGGTAGCATGGCAAGGGCAGCCTGGGGGAGCTCTTTGGCCCCTCCGGTCTCCACCCTGGAGGGTGGATGGTGCAAGGTAGCTCTCACCCCCACCCAACCACAGGTCTGCTGAGCTGGGCGCCCAGGGAGGGACTCCTTCCATTTGCTGGCTCAGAACCCCGCCTCGATGAAGGCCAGGGCCTGGCTGTCTCGGGAAGCAGGTATGGGACAGGTGGCCTTCGGTGCGGCCTGGCCTGACCCCCACTGCCTGGGCCCCGCAGGCAGAGGAAAAGCAGCTGGCAGTGGCTGAGAGAACCATTGGGGACCTGCAGCGGCAGAGCCAGAAGGTGGCTCCTCTGCCTCAGCGCAGGAGCCGGCTGCAGCAGTCCCTGCATGTGGACAGCATCTGCGACTGGGACTCGGGAGAAGTACAAGCTCTGCCTGCCCTGTCCCACCCAGCCTCGGCCCCAGCCCCCAGCCCTCATCCCTCTCTGCAGCCCAGACCCACACCTGATCTGTCCCTGTGCCTACCCCACCCCCTCCTGTGCCCGTTCCCCCTGCTGTGCCCTCCTGACCCGTCCTCATCACCTCTCCAGCTCCACCTGAGCCTGTGTTAGCCCCTCCTCATCGTCCACCAGGTGCAGCTGCTGCGGGGAGAGCGTTTTATGCTGAAGGACAACACTGACCCACACACCTGGGTTGTGCAGGGCCCTGGCGGGGAGACCAAGACTGCCCCAGCCGCCTGCTTCTGCATCCCTGCGCCGGACCCTGAAGCTGTGGCCCAGGCCTCCAGGTGGGTCTCCCGTGGGATATGTGGGGCGGGAGGCAGGCTGTGACCCAGACCAGGCTCTGTGGCACCCGAGAGCGCTGCCTAGAGACCCCTAGGGCCCAAATGTGTGTCCCCTGGCACAGCAGTTGCAGAAAGAGCGAGGAGGGACGTCCTCTGGTCTCATTCCAGGCTGGCCACAGAGCTGCAGGTCCTGAAGCAGAAAGTAGCCACCGTGCAGAGCCGCCTGAAGGCCAGTCGCCTGGAGCCCTTGTGGCCTGAACAGCAGGGTACCTGGGCTCACCGGGAAGTGGGCTTGTTGGGAAGGAGGACCTAGTTTCCTACACCACTTCTGGGGACTGATAAGCGACCCAGGGGGTGACCTTGGCTAAAGGGTGACTGCTCGGGGGACTCCATCTCCTGCGGCAAGTCCTTGGGGCCGTGGCTCCCTGGGTTAGGCCCTACCCAGCCCCCCATTGTGGGTACCTGGGAGGGCCCATCGCAGGCCTATGCCCTCACCAGCTCTTCTGCCTCAGCTCCAGCTGGCTCAGCCCCTGCCGACCCACAGGCCCAGAAGCTGCTGACCCGGATGACCCAGCTGGATGGGGACCTGGGGCAGATAGAGAGGCAGGTCCTGGCCTGGGTCCGGACCCCGCTGAACCGCAAGGCGCCATTGGATGACCTGGAGGGCCGCATCCACAGCCATGAGGTGGGGGAGCAGCCTTACCCTGGGGGTGCAGATAGTTTAGGGGGAGACGCAGAGGCAGACCAGCCACTGGGACCTCAGGCCAAGGAGGGGAGTGGACTCAGCCAAGGGACCTGCAGGCTGGCCCCACAGCCATCACCTCAGGCGCGTTCTTAACCTCTCTAGGCCTCAATTTCCTCCTTCCTGGAACAGGCTGGACAGTCGGCATCGGGGTGTCAGGAGGCGCAAGGGTAGAAACTCCGGGGAGGGTTCTCACAGGGGCCAGAGCCTGGAACGTCCTGGGGACCATCCCTTCCCTCCTGGCTTCCTGGAGAGGTGGCAGCATGTGTAAATGTCCACTAAGACTGTTCTCGACCCCCCGAGGGTACCACGTGTGGCAACCGTCCTCCCCCGACTCGGGGGCCGTGCCTGGTTACCCTTCCCAATCGGTTCTGTTCAGGTAGCTTTTACCGTTTGTGTTTGGCTTTAAAACTTTTTGAGCCATGTTGCTCTCACTGTTGTGCAGCCTGTTATTTTTCTTCTATCAAATAGTTCAGGCTTTTGCAGTCAGCAGTTCAGGCAGGGCCGGGGGCGGAGCAGGAAGGGCAGGCCCAAGGCAGGGAGGTGCTGTGCTGCAGAGGGCGCCCAGGAGGCCTCTCTGGGGTGAAGAGCATCCCTGGCATTCACTGAGGAAGTGGGGCTGTCTCACGAGCAGGATGCAGGATGGCAAAGGGTTCACTGGCCACCCTGGGCATTGTGGTCCCCATTCTGGCTGGCTGTCATACCCAGATAGGTCCTTGGGTTTAGTTTGTGGTACCAGGGATTGAACCCTAGCCCCTTGCACTTAGCTGCATCCACGTCCCTTTTTAAATTTTTTATTTTGAGACAGGGTCTCACTAAATCACCAAGTTTCCGAGGCTGGGTTCAAACATGCAATCCTCCTGCCTCAGCCTCCCAGAGTGCTGGGATTACAGGCATGCACCACCGCACCCAGTTAGTCCTTGGGTTTTGAAGTCGCCACACCTGGCATATGAATGGTTTGGGGCTGGGGAACCATGTCCATCCTAACCCACATCTTAGGGGGCAAATGGGAGAATGAAAGCAGCGATTCTAAGTGGACAGAGCCAGGGCTCGGGCTGTCTGGCCCCGGGTCAGCAGGGCTGAAGGTTTTGTGAAGATGACAATAGGCAACTGTGCGCCAGCCCTGACGCAGCACAGGGCCTCAGTCCATCCTCTCCTCTGTCATTGCGCAGATGAAGAGATGCGCGGCAGAGGCCGGCCTGCCCTCGGTCCGCTGCACGGGGATGCCGCACACCCCATCTCCTGGGCACAGGGTTAGGCAGGCCCTGACATCCCTGACCCCCATTCCTCCCCAGGGCACGGCCCAGCGCCTGAAGAGTCTGGGAGCTGAGAAGACGGCGGCCCAGCAGGAGTGTGAGGTGTTTCTGTCCACACAGCCTGTGGGCCCGGCTGCCCTGCAGCTGCCCTTGGTCCTCAACAATGTTAAGAACAAGCACAGCGATGCCCAGATTCTGTGCAGCCTCTATGGGGAGAAGTGAGTGCTCCTGGGGCGCCTGGGTGGCAGCAGGGTGCAGCTGAGGAAGTGTCTGACCTTTGTCTCTGCTGGGGCAGAGCCAAGGCTGCCCTGGGCTTGGAGCAGCAGATCCAGGAAGCGGACAAGGTCATCCGGGGCTTCGAGTCCACCTTGGCACAAGAGGCACCCATCTCCGATGGCCCCGGGGCACTGCAGGACAGGGTCGGTGAGCTGCAGGTAGGGGCTGGCGGGCCACTTCCTGGTGGGAGGGAGCACAGCCCGGCCAGGCATCCCGGGGCAGTTTGAGGGTGCATGGCGCTGTGTATTCCCCACCTGCAGCACCAGCGGAGGGAGCTGTTAAAGCAGCAGGCCTGTGTGCTGGGGCTGCACCGCCAACTGAAGGCCACGGAGCATTTGTGCGGTGCTCTGCAGAACCACTTCCGGGAGTTTTGCCAAGACCTGCCGCGCCAGCAGCGCCAGGTACGGGCCCTCACCGACCGCTACCACGCCGTGGGGGACCAGCTGGACCTGCGGTGAGTGGCTAGGCCCTCAGGGCGTGCGGCAGGTGCCCAAGATACAAGGGCTCAGGCGGGGCCCAGCTGTGTGTGTGAACAGCTGTGTGATGCTGGCTGGAGACTTCACCTCCTAGAAACTGTTTCTTCACCTGTAAAATGGGAGAAGGGCAGGGGATTTAGCTCAGCGGTTCTGCCACCTGCCTCACAAGCACAAGGACCTGAGTTCGATTCCCGGTACCAAAAAATAAAAAATAAAATAGGAGAATAAACTGGTCAAGTTCTGCACTCCTGCAGTCCTAGCACTCTGGGAGGCTGAGGCAGGAATATCGAAAGTCCAAGCCTAACCTGGCAATTTAACAAGATCTTACGTATCTCAAAATAAAAGAAAAAAGGCCTGGGGATGTAGTTTAGGGAGAAAGCCTCAGGTTCAATACCCAGTGTCACAGAATAATAAAACAATAAAATGGGGTAATAATAATAGTATCTCCCTGAGTGGTACCAGGCTGTCTGCTGATGCCCCACCCCCAATACAGGGAATTGATGCACTCAAGGCCTTTGCACCAAGGTACATCCCCAGGCCTATTTTTTTTTAATGCTTAAATTGGGGCTGGGGATTTAGCTTAGTAGTTCTGGCACCTGCTTCACAAGCACAAGAACCTGAGTTTGATCCCCAGTACCAGAAAAAAAAAAAGGTTAAATTGCCCAGGCTGGGCTTGTACTTGGCACCCTCCTGCCTCAGCATCCCAGAGTGCTGTGATTACAGGTGTGCACCATACCACACGCCTGGCTGTCTATTCCATCTGAGTCCCCAGCCCCAGCAGAGTGGGGGACCTGCAGGTCGCTCAGGCCTCCTGACCTGTCCCAGGGAGGAGCAGCCACCTGGCTTCTCTGTGTACCCCACCTGTCCCCAGAGGGCAGCCTTCACCTTTGCTCTGGCCTGGTCCTCCTCAGAGAGAAGACTGTGCAGGATGCTGGCCTCACCTACCAGCAGTTTAAGAACTGCAAGGACGACCTGAGCTCCTGGCTGGAGCACTTGCCCCACAACCAGGTGCGGCCCAGCGATGGGCTCAGCCAGATCGACTACAAGCTACAAGCACAGAAGGTGAGGAACCAGGGCTCCAGCGACCTGCCCAGACCTGGGGCCCCCAGCCAGCTCCTCCTGCCCACAGACAGCGCAGGCTGTGCACGTGTGCCCCCTAGTGGCATAGATCAAAAGCGCTCTATGGGGCCTCAAGCCAAAACCAGAAACTTGCCCCTTCTTAACTCCACCTGCAGTGCTCCACTTAGCCCACCGCTGCCTGGACCCAGGTGGGCAGTGAGATTCAAGGAGTTCCAGCCACTGCTTCATCCTAGTTCTCATCCTTGTCAAGCCCCTGCTCTGTACCAAGAAATAAACCACGAGGAAACGGGGGTTGTGGTGGTGGGGGATGATTTATCCCCGGCCTGAAAGCTGATAAACGCTTTGGGCCAAGCCGGTGCTGTGGGCGCCCTCTGGTGGACACATGTGGGGACAGACCAACCAGTGTGAAAGGAAGCCAGCCCTGAACAGAGCCGTGAGAAACAAGGTGGAGAGAGAGAAACGTCCCACTCAGAGGGTACCGCAGTCAGGGGAAAAGTGGGGCTCTGGGGTGAGAGTGGCCAGGTGAGGAATGTGCCATCCAGGATCTGTCAGGCGCACAGGAAGGAGGCTGGATTCTACTCTGCAGCACTGGGAAGCCCTGGGGGCACCTTGAGTCTAGCGTTTAAAAGTTGGCTATGAGCTAGGGGTGGGGTGGGGTGGTACACATTTGTAATCCCAGCACTCTGGGAGGCTGAGGCAGGAGGATCACAATAGTTTTTGGTTTGTTGTTGTTGGTTTTTTGAGACGGGGTCTCACTGTAGTTGAGACTGACCTGGAATTCACTATGTAGCCCAGGCTGGTCTCAAACTCACAGCGATCCTCCTGCCTCAGTCTCCTGAGTGCTAGGATTAGGCGTGCACACCATGCCTGGCTGAGGATCACAACTTTGAGTTCAACCTGGGACACTTAGCAATTTAGAGACGCTGTCTCAAAAAAAAATTTTTTTTTTGAAGGGTTGGGAATGTAACCCCATATGAAGTCCTTGGGTTCAATCCCCAGTGCAGAAAAAGTAAAAGTTGGCTATGACTCTGCGTGAAGAATGGTTGAGAAGGAATGGGAATGCAGACAGGGAGAGCCCTTGGGGGGCCAGGGCCGAAGCCCAGGTAAGAGAGGAACTAGGACCCCTCCCTAGAACAGTAACGTTGGAATCCTTGGGTTTTTTTTTTTTTTTTTTTTTTTTTTTTTTAATTTCCAAGTGAAAAGGCAGCCAGGGTTAAGAAAACTTTTGGCAGAGCAGTGGTTTTCCAAGTGTAGTCCCTGGACCCCAGCATCAGCGTTACCTGGGGGCACTTCCCCTTTGCCACCCCACACTGCAGAAGCAGGTCAGGGTGGCCCAGCAGATCTGTGGCCTACAAGCCCTGCCAGGCTCTGCTGTTCAGGGCCGATGCCGCATGAGCCACTGAGCCTGGCCTGAGCTCTGAGGGACACAGAGCAGGAGAAAGGGACTCTGCCAAGGAGGGGAAGGAGGAAGGGCAGACAGAATGGTGTCAGGTGTCAGGGAAAGGTGGGACTTCCTGCCCCAGCTCTTCCTGTCCCTTTACCCTCCTGCACTGGCTGCTGCCACAGGCTGGGGTAGAAGCAGAAAAGGCAGGCTGAGGAGGGCCTCCCCAGCGCCCTGACTCTTACTTCCTGCCCAACAGAGGCTGATTCGGGAGATTCAGGGACGGGAGCGAGACAGAGCCACAGTGTCCCGCCTCTCCGGGGACTTGCAGGCGGCTCTCCAGGTAGACACTTGCCCTCCACCTCCTCTCTAGCCACCAGCCTCCCTTCCTCTTTTGGTCCTTGTTTCCCATTCCCAGCTCCTCCACTGACTTCCAGCCTTGCTCCTTGCCCCTGCTCAGGACTATGAGCTCCAGGCAGACACCTACCGCTGCTCCCTGGAACCCACCCTGGCAGTGTCAGCCCCCAAGAGGCCTCGAGTGGCCCCCCTGCAGGAGAGCATCCAGGCCCAGGTGAGACGAGAGCAGCAGGGCTCCGTGTGCCTCAGCACCAGCTCTGCAGCCTCTCCGCCAGGAGCTGACTCTGCCTTCGTTCTCCTTCCCTTCATCCTCTCCAGGAGCAGAACCTTGCCAAAACCTATACCGCAGTCACAGCTGCCCAGCAACAGCAGCTGCACCAGCTGGAATTTGCCAGAAAGATGCTGGAGAAGGTACAGAAATAATGGCCACCATTCCCCCAATAGCCAGGCTGGCCAAACGTGCACTCGGCCCTCCGCCCTTCCTCCCCCTCTGCAGACCTCAGGCCCGGGGAAGGCTCGGCCACATTCCACTCCCCAGCAGCTCTTACAGGCTGGTACCTACCCCATCAGGCCCTGGAGATGTCTTTCTGGGTGCTCACAGCTTAACCACTGGGCAGTGCTCTAGTGGGGACAGGACCCCTAATCCAGACAGCAGAGAAAACCCCTACTGTCTGTAGCCAAGTGGTAACTGGCCACTGGTCTCCAGCCTGGTAGAGCAGAAGCCAGGTGCTCTCCATGGCTCCTGGTGATTCGCCAGCTCCCTCTGCCGTACTCCAATATCTCCTAGAGAGGGTGGCCCCACTTCTGGGTGCCTAATGGGAAAGAGAAGGAAAAGTTTGGAAAATAGAGCTAGTACTGTATGCATGGACTTGTGCAAATTTGACCCGAATCTGTCCTGCATCCCAGCTCATGCCTTGGGTTTCCTTGAAATCCTGCATCCAGGGAGCTTAGGTTTTTCAGCTCCACCTCTCAGGACCTCCTAGGAAGCCTCAGGAAGCAGGGAGTGGCCTGTGATCTCAGGATGTCGTACAGAAAAATGGGGCTCCTAGCGTGGTGTGGTGGTGTACACCTATAACCCCATCATCTGGGTGGCTGAGGCAGGAGGATGACCATGAGTTCAAGGCTGGTCTGGGCTACATAGTGAGACTCTGTCTCTCAAAACCTAAATTTAAGAAATTAAATAAAAGGGCCTGAGGATGTAGCTCAGTGGCACCACACCTGCCTGGCAAATGCAAGGTCCAGAGTTTGATCTCTGGTACTGGAAAAATAAATAAATCCTGGAGATATAACTCAGTGTGAAGGCCTTGGATTCACTCCCCAGTACACAAAAAGAAAGAAAAGAAAAATGAGGCTATATTTCTTCCCTTAACCCCTCTACTTTCCCTTCTTTTGACTTTGCAGAAGGAGCTCAGCGAGGACATCCAGGTGACTCGTGTTGCCAAGCAGGGGTCTGAGGGCCCAGCCCAAGTCAGAAGGGAGTCAGAGTCCTTGAAGTCCCAGCTGGAGGAGGAAAGGAAGCGTGTGGCCCAGGTGCAGCGCCAGCTGGAGGAGCAGAGGCACCAGCTGCTGCAGCTGAGGACCCAGCGGCCCGTGGAGAGGCTGGAGGAGAAGGAGGTGGTGGAGTTCTACCGGGACCCCCAGCTGGAGGGCAGTGTGTCCAGGGTGACATCCCAGTTGGAGGAGGAGGGCAAGAGGAGGGCCCGGCTGCAGGCCAACCTAGAGGCAGCGGCCCAGAAGGTCGTCCAGCTGGAGAACAAGAGGAAGACCATACAGCCCCACCTGCTGACCAAGGAGGTTACGCAGATCGAGAGGGACCCAGGCTTGGACAGCCAGGCAGCCCAGCTAAGGGGCAAGATCCAGCAGCTGCAGGGGGAGAACACTGTCGTCTCGGCCCAGGTGGAGGAGCTGAAGAAGGAGCTGCTGGCCCTTGAGCAGAAGGAGGTGAATGTGAAGGAGACGGTCATGGTCAAAGAGGTGGTCAAGGTGGAGAAGGACCCGGAGATGGTCAAGGCGGCCCAGGCCCTGAGGCTGCAGATCAAGGAGGATGCTGCAAGGAGAAAGGGCACGGAGGAGGCCGTGGCCAAGCTACAGGCTCGCATCAAAGACCTAGAGCGGGTGATCAGCTCAGTGGAGCCCAAGGTCATCGTGAAGGAGGTGAGGAAGGTGGAGCAGGACCCAAGCCTTCTCAAAGAGTCCTCTAGGCTCAAAAGCCTCCTTGAGGAAGAGAAGACCAAGAATGCAGCGCTGGCCAGGGAGCTGAGGGAGCTGCAGGGCAAGTACAGCATGGTGGAGAAGCAGAAGCCCAAGGTGCAGCTCCAGGAGCGGGTCAATGAGATCTTCCAGGTGAGCCCGGAGACAGAACAGGAGATCATCAGGCTCCAGGCCGTGCTGCAGGAGATGGCCAGCAAGAGGAGCGGCGTGGAGAAGGAGGTGGAGAGACTGCTGCCCGACCTGGAGCTCCTGCGGGCCCAGAAGCCCACCGTGGAGTACAAGGAAGTGACCCAGGAGGTGGTGAGGCATGAGAAGAACCCAGAGCTGCTGCGAGAGATCGACCGCCTGAAGGCTCAGCTCAACGAGCTGGTCAACAGCAGTGGGCGCTGCCAGGAGCAGCTCATCCGGCTGCAGGGGGAGCGGGATGAGTGGAGGCGGGAGCGGGCCAAGGTGGAGACCAAGATGGTGAACAAGGAGGTGGTGCGCCACGAGAGGGACCCAGTGCTGGAGAAGGAGGCCGAGCGGCTCCGCCAGGAGGTGCGGGAAGCAGCCCAGAAGAGGCGGGCGGCAGAGGCTGTGGTTTATGAGCTGCAGAACAAGTACCTGCTGCTGGAGAGGAGGAAGCCCGAGGAGAAGGTGGTGGTGCAGGAGGTGGTGGTCACCCAGAAGGACCCAAAGCTGCACGAGGAGCACGGCCGGCTGAGCTGCAGCCTGGACGAGGAGGTGGGACGGCGGCGGCAGCTGGAGCGGGAGGTGCAGCAGCTGCACGCCAGTGTGGAGGAGAAGGAGGGCCTGCTCAGCTTCCGGGAGGACCGCAGCAAGAAGCTGGCCGCCGAGAAGGAGCTGCGACAGCTGACCCTGAGGATCCAGGAGCTGGAGAAGCGGCCTCCCACAGTGCAGGAGAAGATCATCATGGAGGAAGTGGTCAAGCTGGAGAAGGACCCGGATCTGGAGAGGTCCACCGAAGCCCTGCGCCGGGACCTGGAACAGGAGAAGACGCGGGTGATGGAGCTGCACCGCGAGTGCAAAAGCCTGCAGGTCCAGATCGACGTCCTCCAGAAAACCAAATCGCAGGAGAAGACCATCTACAAGGAAGTGATCAGGGTGGAGAAGGACCAGGTGCTGGAGAGCAAGCGGGCCCAGGCGTGGGAGATGCTCAGCAGGGAGCGCGAGGCCCGCCAGGCCCGGCAGGACGAGGTGTGGAGCCTGCGGGAGAGGATTGACCGGGCCGAGGCGCTGAAGAGGACCTGGTCCCGGGAGGAGGCCGAGCTGCAGAAGGCCCGGGACCAGGCTGGCCAGGAGTGCGGGCAGCTGCAGCAGGAGCTGCAGGAGCTGGAGCGGCAGAGGCAGCAGAAGGTGGTGCGGCTGCAGGAGGCAAAGTTGCTCAGCCAGAAGACAGACAACGAGTGGCAGAAGGGGGCCCAGCGGGATCAGGTGCTCTCACAGCTGGAGGCCTCCATCCTCCGAGAGAAGGACCAGATCTACCAGAAGGAGAGGACCCTCCGGGACCTGCAGGCCAAGGCGAGCCGGGAGGAGCTCAGCCAGGAAACCCAGACCCGGGAGACCAACCTCTCCACCAAGATCTGCATCTTGGAGCCTGAGACCGGGAACGACCTGTCCCCTTATGAGGCCTATAAGAGGGGCATCATCGACCGAGGCCAGTACCTCCAGCTGCAGGAGCTGGAGTGCGACTGGGAGGAAGTCACCACCTCGGGGCCCTGCGGGGAGGAGTCGGTGCTCTTGGACCGCAAGAGCGGGAAGCAGTACTCCATCGAGGCCGCCCTGCGCGGCCGCCGCATCTCCAAGGAGGAGTACCACCTGTACAAGGATGGGCGCCTCCCCATCTCCGAGTTTGCCCTGCTCGTAGCAGGTGAGACCAAGCCCTGCTCCTCTCTCTCCATTGGCTCCATCATCTCCAAGTCCCCGGCCTCCCAGGGCACCAGTTTCTTCTCCCCAGGCTTCTCTTTTGGGCTCGCAGATGACAGCTTCCCCATTGCCGGGGTCTACGACCAAACCACAGACAACAAGTGCAGCGTCAAAACAGCCATGGCCAAGAACCTGCTGGACCCCATTACGGGGCAGAAGCTGCTGGAGGCGCAGGCGGCCACAGGGGGCATCGTGGACCTCCTCAGCCGCGAGCGCTGTTCCGTGCACAAGGCCCTGGAGCGGGGGCTCATCGAGAACACCTCCATGCAGCGGCTGCTCAACGCCCAAAAGGCCTTCACCGGCATCGAGGACCCAGTGACCAAGAAGAGGCTGTCGGTGGGCGAGGCTGTCCAGAAGGGCTGGATGCCCCAGGAGAGCATCCTTCCGCACCTGCAGGTGCAGCACCTGACCGGGGGGCTCATCGACCCCAAGAGGACGGGCCGTATCCCCGTCCCCCAGGCCGTGCTCTTGGGGATGATCAGCGAAGAGCTGGCCCAGCTCCTGCAGGACGAGTCTGGCTACGAGAAGGATCTGACAGACCCCATCTCCAAGGAGCGGCTGAGCTACAAGGAGGCCATGGGGCGCTGCCGTAAAGACCCCCTGAGCGGCCTGCTGCTCCTTCCGGCCACCCTGGAGGGGTACCACTGCTTCCGCGTGGCCTCCCCCACCCTGCCGCGCTCCTGTGTGCGCTGACGGGGCGAGCAGCTCCTCCCCAGAGCAGCCTTGCTCTGAGCAGTCTTTTCTCTGTCACTTACTTAAACGTGTATGGGGTTGGGCTCCGCCTCTCACCTCTGTGCCCAGGCCACCCCAGACCAGCGGGTCAGCAGCTCCGTTTCCCTGCTCCCACCCTGTGCTTCCAATAAATGTCTTCTCCCAGGGGTGCGTCTCCTTCCTATGTGGGAAACACACGGTCAGTGAGCCCGGGCTTTGAGCAGGGGGCAGCCCTGTCGGGTTTGTCCCCTCCCCACTCGACAGCCTGGGGACGGGGTGCTGTTGGAGCGCTGGGATCCCTTGGAAAGTGGACTGGGGCAGAGCCCAGCCTCCCTGCCCACCCCTTCTCAGTTGCCCTGCCCTCTCAGTGCTGGCCAGGACTATCTCCAAATGCTGTCAGCCAGCCCAGGTGTCCCCATGAGATCATGAACAGAGCAAGGACAGAAAACTCAGAAGCCTGTCATTTTTATTTCCCACGCATCAAGAAGCCAATCAACATAAACACATCTTGGATGAAGGGACAAAGACTTAGAACAGCTGAGGTTGCCCCGACCTCTCCTGGGTCAGTAAACTGTCTCCTCTGTTCCCCCTCGCCGGTTTAGTGTGGAATTCTGAACTGAATTCAACGCTTCTTGCAAACATTTTACATCAAAAGAGACCAGCACGGGCATCCCTCCCTGGGGCCTGCCTGCACAGGTGAAGGGGTTGCTGGCTGCACGCACCTGCAGCCCTCCCAGCTTGGCACCTCTTGTTCCAGTGCCAGGGGCCTAGGACTCTAATACCCCTCCTACGTGGGGTACCTGTGCCACGTGGAAGTGGCACCATCAAAATCAACCAGCAACACAGGAACTCAGTAACCTGCTAGCAGGAGCGACTCAAACTCAGCCCTCCCACGGATAATGTCAGATTCCTTAGAGCTCTGCTTTCTTCCCAGATTTGTTCTCTCTTGGGCAGCTGTGGGGAGGCAGCTGAGAGAGGATCTCAAACATTCTCAGCGGCAAAAATGCTGCAGCACACCCGGCAGGGGGCCGGGCAGGGCTCCATAGATGAGAAGTAGGGATGGGCAAGGGCAGCCTTGGCTGAGATCTGCTGGCTGGGGTTGTACTGCAGAAGCTGCTGAGGAGGGAGGAGGAGGAGGAGGAAGAGGAGGAAAGAGGAGGAAAGAGGAGGAAAGAGGAGGAAAGAGGAGGAAAGAGGAGGAAAGAGGAGGAAAGAGGAGGAAAGAGGAGGAAAGAGGAGGAAAGAGGAGGAAAGAGGAGGAAAGAGGTTGGGTCTGGGTGCCGCCAGGGTGGGGAGGTCTTAAGCCCCCAAGAAGAGCTGCTCTCAAACCCAGACTTCCATGAAGCTCTCGGAATCTGGGGACAAAAGGGTTTATTGTAGTCCAGCCCTATGAGTCACCCGGGTCTCCTTCAGGCTGCTGTAACCTAGTCAGTTCCCTTTTTTGCTGAGGGTTCCAGCCCCAGCCTGTCTCTCGTGTCTGTAAGCAGGCCCCAAACCTGTCCAAGATGCATGCTTGAAAATAGGAATCCAAAGACCAGGGAGGGAGAGAAAGAGGCCCAGCCCTGCTCTCTGCCCTCAAAAACCCTCTGGAAGGGCCCACCGCCTGGGAGTGGCCAGGCTGCAGGGTTAAGAGCCTTGGCTGGAAGCCCATGCTGTCTCCACAGGCTCTGGGGAGCTGGACGCACAGCCTGGAGACAGAAATCCTGCCCTGCTCCTGTCCTGACAGCAGCATAAAGACATATGGGGCTCTGAGGCTTCACAGACAAGCAGGGAAGGCTCTGCCTGAGGCCTGCCGGGCAGCCTCGCCATGGCCGGTCTAAGGGTCAGACAGTGTCATGGAAAGGGTGAGGAGAGGCACCAGGGACAATCTGTTCTGAGCAGCCCTGTCTGAAGACCAAGTGAAGACGTAGTGAAGGCGACAGGAAGGAAAGCTTCAGCTGAGATGGGACGATAAAGTCCACGGGGAAAGTGATCACAAATACAAGTGGAGCTGGGCGTGTGACGCACACCTGTAATCCCAGCAGGGGAAAGGCGGGGGATCGAGAGTCAGCCTGGACTGCATAGCAAGTTCTGAGACTGGCCTAGGTACACAGTGAGCCCCTGCCTCGAGGAGGAGGAGGAGAAAGAGGGAGGGGCAGAGGGAAAAGAAACAAAACCAAAAAGAACAGGGCAGAAGGTGACATGCAGTTCGAGGCCCTGGGTTTGAACCCCTCCCACCATAAAAAGGGTAAATGTCATGGCATAAAACAAAGCTAACCAAGCCAGGCACAGTGGCATACTCCTGTAATTCCAGCATTCAGGGAGGCTGAGGCAGGAGGATCACAAGTTCAAGTCCAGCCTGGGCCACTCAGTCTCAAATTAGAATTTTTTAAAAAAGTGGTAAGGATGAGCTCAGTGAAGAGGCCCTGGGTTCATCCTCAGTACTGAAAAAAAAAAATAAAAAAAAAAAAAAAAAAAAAAAAAAAAAAAAAAAAAAAAAAAAAAAAAAAAAAAAAAAAAAAAAAAAAGCTAACCAGGTGATTGTTTTCAAAGGGAAAATGAACACTGGACTCATCACATGAGAAGTTTCTAGATGAAACAATCCATACACAAAGACAAGCCAGGTGTGTACAAGGGACAGGCAGGAGACAGCACGTGTCAGAGAGGGTTACATAAAAGGCTGCTGACAAAGGGGACACCAGGCGGAGTGGCCACTGGAGCCAGGAGGCCTTACCATGAGCAGGTCTTTGCCCTCCAGGTCCAGATTGGGCACGATCTCCCCTCCAGCCCTTTTCTAGTCCACTTGGGGAAGGTGCCTTTACAGTCAGGCAGCTGAGTGACTCCTGGCCAGGTGTCTTCACTGGGAGTCCCCAGGGTTTGAAAGATACGAAAGAGCTGGTCAATTTCAGAGTCCCCTGGAAACAGGGCTTTGCAAGTTACCTGGAACAGGGAAAGAGATTTTGGCTTGCAGAATGAGTGGCCAGAACCAGAGGGGGACCTTCGAGATAAGAAATCTCTCTCGGGACTATGCTAAGAATTCTACATTTCTTTTTCTTTCTGGTACTGAGGAACCCAGGGCCTTTGCACCGAGCTACATCCCAATCCCTATTTGTATCTTTTTATTTTGAGACAGGGTTTGACTATGTTGCCAAGTTGTCCAGGTTGGGCTCAAACTTGTGACCCTCCTGTCTCAGCCTTCCAAGTGCTGATGATGAGGGTACAGAACTGCCTTTTCTGGGATAAGGCTGCTTCCCCAGTCCCAGATGCCCTTCATCCCACCTCTCACAGAACCATTAGTGGGCCAGGGATTTGGCTCAGTGATTCCGCTGCCTGTCTCGCAAGCGAAAGGGCCTGAGTTCTATCCCCGGTACCAAAAAAAAAAAAGAGCCATTAGTGACCTCCTCCACCACCTCAGTAAGACCCTGCCGATGGCCACCCTGGGCCACGCCTGTCCCTCTGTCTACCATCTCTGCGAAGATGCAACCAATGCTCCAGACATCCACAGCTGTTGAATAAAATTTGGTACCCAAGAGGATCTCGGGCATGATACCACAGCGTCACCACCTGTGGGGACAAGAAAGAAACCGCATCCTTCAGGGTGGCAGAGTGCACAGGGCTGGTCCTCCTCGCCCCTTGCCCGCAGCACACCTCGTGGGTGTAGGTGCGCAAGGGCACAGCAAAGGCCCAAGCCAGTGCAAAGTCAGCCAGCTTGATGGCTCCAAACTCATCGATGAGCAGATTCTGGGGCTTCAGGTATCGGTGGATGACCCGATGAGAATGGCAGAAGTTCACCCCCTGCAGTAGCTGGAAGAGGTAGCTCTGCAGAAATGAGCGGGTGAGGGAGCCAGCTGAGAGCCACGGCTGGCAG